CCGAGGCGCGCGACCGGAAAAACAGCAGCGGAAGCGTGAGGCGGGCCCACAGGCCAGGACGTAACTCGCTCTAATGCCATGTTGAGTTACTAAGTAAGAGTAAGCTTAGGTTTTAGGTAGGGCCTAGGTTTAGTAGCCTAGGCCTAGGGGAAGTCGAGGAGGTTGTGCCAAGGTGAGAGTCGAGAATGGGAAAAGTGATGTTCACTATAGCACTAGGGTACATATAGTAAACAGAGCATGCAAAGAAGGTGCACCACCAACAGTTTATAATAACTACACTAAACTACAGCTACAGGCAGTTACATATAAATTCTAACAATGCTCTCCTCGAAGGCACTGCCCAACAACAGTTCACCCTTCAAGGAATGGACTGGAAAACACCCTGACACACGCATGCTGCGAGTCTTCGGGTGCATGGTACAGTACCGCCCTCACACTGCCCAAACCGGAAAATTTGAAGATCGCGCTCGCTGGGGCATTCACCTCGGAATCGAATCCGAATACCACGCCTGGACAATCCTGGACTTCGCCACCCACCAGCTCACGCGTTCACGTGACTGCATCTTCTACGAAAGACTGACCCTGCCACTGTACCGCCAGCACCGCACTGCACAGAATGCACCAGACAACATCTTCCAAGGACAGCACAGCTTCGCCAATGACGAGGACGACGTTGACGTGGCAGGAGAACAACCGGACGAGCCAGCAGCAGACGTGGCAGACGAGGCACCCTTCATCCCCGTTACGGAGCAGTTCGGCACTCCTGCATACTTCCCAACAAACATCGATCCTCATGAAGCAGTACAGGCACAGCACGATTATGCAAGTGCAGAAATGCACTCACCCATGAACGAGGATTCAACTCGCGACTCCTCCCGCGACACCTTTCGCAACATCCCTGGCGACGACGACGACGTGGTCGAAGTTACCACCACAGCCGAAACCAACCTCACGGGCCTTCGCATCCTCGGCCTCGCTGTCGCCGTACGGGGTAACCAGCAGCTGGTCGAGCCCACCACCGTTCGCCAGGCTCTCAACGGGCCCGATGCCGAGAAGTGGAGAGCCGCCATGGCCGCAGAAGTCGCTGCACTCCAACGTCGCGGCACCTGGAAGCTGGTACCACGTCGCCACGCAAAGGGTAGGAAAATTCTTACAGGGAAGTGGGTCTTCCGCATCAAGACTCTCGCGGACGGAACGGTCGAAAAATTCAAGGCGCGCTGGGTGGTTCGCGGATTCGAGCAGACACAATTTGTGGACTACAACCAGACATTCGCACCTGTCGGTCGTCATACCTCAGTGCGCATCCTTCTCTGCATCGCCGCCGTGAAACAGCGCCCACTACGCAAAATCGACGTCTCCAACGCGTTCCTCTACGCGATCATCGACGCCATCATCTACGTCGAGCAGCCACACGCATTCGAGGAAGAAGGGGACGCCATCTGTCTCCTTCAAAAGTCCCTGTACGGGATCAAGCAGGCACCACGCCTGTGGCAGCAGCATCTTCACGGCGTCCTCATCGAGCTCGGTTTCCAGCAACTCCCCCACGACCAGGGGATGTACCGCCTCGAATCCCGCGGTCACTTCATCCTGCTCGTCGCCTACGTCGACGACCTCCTCTACACCGGAGACGACACAGACCTGCTCGATCGCTTCGAACGCGAGATCTAGGAGAAGCTAGAAGTGACCATCGACCATGAAGTCACCCAATTTCTCGGGCTCAACGTCACTCAAACTGCGGATACAATCCACCTCTCCGCCGCGAAATACGCCGAGACTCTCGCTAAGAAGTTCGGGATCGCTCCCGTCGGCATCACCACCCCGTTCCGCATCCCTCCACCTAACCACGAGCCTAACACCACCCCACTCTCACCGTCTGATCACCGCCTCTACCAGCAGCAGCTCGGATGCCTACTGTTCGCCGCCGTCACATGCCGCCCGGACTTATCCTACATCGCCAGCCAGCTCGCCCAGTACCTGCGCCGACCTGAAGGGGAGAACCTAGCAGACCTGCGCCGCGCCTTACAGTACTTCATCTCTACGCCTGATGTCGGCCTCACCTACAAGGCCAACTTAACAGCACCACTACAACTCACCGGCTATGTGGATGCTGACCAAGCTGGGGACTCAGACAACAGGAGGTCCCGCACAGGCTTCATTTTCAAACTTGAGCCTGCAGGAACCATCTCCTGGAACTCCAACAAACAGGAACTCATCGCCCTCTCGTCAGCAGAAGCAGAATTCATCGCAGCAAGCGCAGCAGTTCGCGAAGGACTCTATCTCACGGAGCTCCTGCAGGAAACGAAGACGGCGATGAACGGGTCCTTCAAGTTACTCTGCGACAACCAGAGCGCGATCAAAATCGCAAACAAGCCAGGCTTCGTCAACCGCACGAAACACATCGCCCTGCGTTACTTCTTCGTGAAGGACGAAATCGACAAGGGGAACGTCCAGCTCACCTACTGTCCAACTGGCGAAATGGCAGCTGATTTCCTCACGAAGAAACTGCCACGTCAGAAGTTTCAGTACTGCTCGGACCTGTGCGGAGTCACTCGCAAAAGCCACGTGGCGCACCTCCAGGAATGAAGGGGAGTGTTGGAGTGTGAAGGGAATTACACTTAGCATTCCCGTAGGTGCAGTAGTATCGCACCTGATTCTGTCGAAGCAGCAACAACCGCAGTATCGGATCAGCCCGTATCGAGGGCAGGAAGGTCAACAGTCGCAAGAGTCAACTGTCGCGACTGTTGACCATCTGGACCGACGCTTGACTTACCATCGAGGAATGGCAACAGGCGTAACCGTACAGGTTACATGCAGCGACTCGGTAACAAGAAGGTAGTACAACAGTCAGAGTCACTGTAGAAATGCCTGTAAAACAGTTATAACAAGGGAATGTACCCCTTAGAGTACATGGCTAGATTAGGACCAGGCCCTACGTTATCAGGAATTTTTCCCTGAAATTCCTGATTTTCAGGGATTTTTTTTGTACCTATCCTGGTTTTTCAGTGTTCAGTTTTTTAAGGGGCTGATTTTTCAGCCTTTAGGTGCTAGATGACTCTGATCTTTCAGGATTTTTTTCGAAAAGACACTGATCACTTTACGTTGTAACGAAACTGACCCTGAATGCGGTTCCTACACGTGCCGAGTGTAGGTGCCCAGAAGTACAGGGAATATCAGATTCCCGCGGTGTTTGGAAAAAAAATTGTCTGGTACTCACCGCCAGCACCACCTGGCGGTGAGAACGAGACAAATTCTACACCTGGTGGGCTGTTGAATTTGGTGCGCGTGGAACGATCGTTGCCCAGTTTCTCATCATTGCATGGGTTGACCAATCACAGGGTTGCAGCATAGCAATGCTGGCAGTGTGCGGTGCGAGGGTTTCTTGCACCTGTTGTCGTGTGGCACGTTTTATCCAGGTCGTGCTGGCACCCTCTCTCTGCTATGCTGTTGCGCCCATGCTTGCAAGCTAGCTAGTTAGTGTGTTCTAGTTATTGAAGTGTATCAGCGTTTAGAAAATGGGGACACTGATGCATCAGGGATTTTTAAAAAGGAACACTGAACTTTCAGGGATTTTTTTTTAGAGACACTGATTATCAGGGATTCTACACAAGGGGACCCTGATGCCTTTACGTGCATAAAAGTGAATCATAGGCCCTGATTAGGACTATTTATATCCCTTGTATTCTATCTTTTAATTAACTTGGTCATTTACATTCACTATGATCAGAGTTCTTACAAAGACTTTCGCTACCAACTCTACTAAAGCACCTCCTATTCTATCCAAGGTCCTCACTCTAACAGACCTCTGACAACGTGTCAGACCCCGCCCAGCATCGCGCTCATCTTCACCGTCCGATTCGAAACCGCTACATCAACGACTATCATTTAATTACGTATGCAGTTCGGCACTTCAATCGCGATCGTCAGATCGACCGCCTGGTCAACTAGTCAGCTTCGCGTCAACTCAAGGGTCAACGCGTTCTGCACCGTCAGATCCGTTTTCAACCGAGATCTGCAGTTTTCATGCTACTGCAAGACTCGACTACAGATAAGGGGGCCTTATCTAGAAGGTGGGAGAGTGTAATGAATATGCAATTCATTACTGTAGAGGCTGCTCCTAGCGAGGACAGCCCCGAGCTCTTCGCGTCGGATTCCGGTTCGGCCTACATTTCGGCCCGAACCACTCCCGAGTCGCTCCGCACCAATCGCGACACATCCAATCCTCGCACGTCCCGAGGTCCGCGCCTAGCACGCATTCGCCCTATAAATGCTTCTCTTGTTCATTCAATGCTGATTCAGTAATTCTGTAATCACAGTCTCTTTATAGAAGTCTTCCGCGCACTCTGTTTAGTACAACTCATAACAGCTATCTTGAACCGCCTGGAATAGCTCCGCCATTTCGCAGGCACAGACACCCGCCTGCACAGTGCACAGAGTGCTCTACGAGCACCTGTACTCGGCTCGGCGGCAGCACGGCAGCAGAAGACCCGCGCGCGCTTCACGCCAGTGGGGGAGGGGGGGTAAGGGGAAGGGGAGGTGCAGGCCAGATTACCCACCTGAACGACCTGAACGACCACTGCCCACCTGCGTCTCCGAAGGTTACCCATTTCGCTCGTGAATTTCGTGCCCTGGCGACACCGATACGGAGAAACCTGGTGTGAAAGGTAGGGGATAATTTTTTCCTGGCCGCAACAGACGGACCACCAGCAGTATCTCAGGCATGTGGTCTTCTGCCACGACGTCGAACTCGGCGACGCCATTGCGTATCTCATGAAATTTTGGAACTGTACATATCCCAGATTTGCGACGCCAGAAGACTAACTGTATTGGCTGCGAACCCAGTTACCACTCACGAAACGAAAATGTCCCAATGCCAAATTTAGCCACCACTCTTTCCTGTGAGACAGGTCTTCCACTTATAAAATCTGGGAGTGAGCACAGGGATGGCACTTGTCGTTGCAATCTCCCTCAGTGCAATCGTTGTCGCTTTTATCCCTCCAATCATGGCGTGTCACGACAATAGTCACGCTCCGTGGAGCTTTTCTTACCTCATCATCTGCGCCCTGCTCGCGCTGCTCGTCGCGCCTGCATTGGCGAAGCGGCCAACGAAGGATGAGTTCGTCGACGAGTTGAAAAAGGCAAACGAAGCGCTCAAGGACCCCAAGTACAACGGCAAATACTTCGCCACTACCGCGGCTTTCGACCACCTCATCCCGGAATTCGGTGCGTGCATGCCTTCGATATAATCCCATCTGTAGTAATACGTTAGGCAGGTAATAGTTCCCCCGATTTTTTTTTATTTTTATTTTTTTCATTTTTTTTTTCTGGATGGCTCCAAATCATCATCTCATCATCTCACGGTGACCTCTGGCACGTGCAGAAAAGGATTGGGAGCCGAATGACGAGCAGCTAGACGAGCTCGAGCGCACGACCGCGTTGGTGCCGGACAGCACGGCCATCCTCTGGGCGATCCCCGCGGCCGCCGCCGACATTTTGCGTGGCGGCGCTACTGACCGCAAGGACATCGAGAACTACGGGCAGTGGGTGCGCGCGAACATTGTCAAGGGCATGTTCACAAACGAGGGGCTTAAGAACGCCCAGGAGTTTACAGACATGAACGGCCGCAGGATGGGGAAGAGAGAGGAGGTGACGAACCTGCGCACGGGGGAGACGAGGATGGAGCTCGGCAAGGCGAATGCAAAGGTGAACGATCCAGAGATTTACAAGGGGAAGTTTTTTGTTTTACATGGAGTGGATGCGGTGCAGACTCCAAACTAAGCGCACATACCGTAGGTACAATGCATTGGGTGCGGAAACAAAGTTAGTTGCTTGCGTTGACTGCAACATATTGACCACTAGTAGTGGTACCAGGCAGCAGATAGACAACTAGCGTACATTGCATGGATGCAATGCTTTCCATTAGTGAAATTACTTATTAGTATCTTCTCAGCATGACTTGGCTAAAAAACAACGACTTACTACCAAGGAAGCATTTGACAGGGGTGGTAGTAGTACCACCCACTACATGTGCTTATTTTCTCTAGGTGGAAAGCATGGCATCGGGAGCATACAATCCTAAGGCCCATCATACTCTACACTGCAATCAATAGTTGCCAATAAGCCTACTTGGTGCCACTATACCGTTGAACACTTGCTTAGTCAGTGCGCCTGTTGTTGCTGAACAAAAATAAACCGCTCACATGACCAACGAAAATGGGAGGCAGCTGCAAGCTGGGATGCACCCAACCACCAAGAGTCTTCGCTTCAATATGCCATCCTGCAGACTTTGCTTGCTCATCTGCCGCTGCTCATTGATTCCATGCTCGTCTCTCCTCTCTCCTTCCATGCTGCCCTTACTTCCTCCGCCTCTCTGCCCCAACAGTTTCAGCTCCAATCTCAAACCACCCTCTCCTGCGTTGCCTTCTTCCCCTTGCCTCCTACGCCCCTGCCCCTACTCGAAAACCCCCATAATATTCTAAGTTACATCGGTTAGTAGTGATGTTTCCAGTCCAGTACTGTAGTCTTGCCACACCTTTCCAGAGCTCCGCTCCCCCCTCCCACAACCCCCCCTTGGAACAATCGCGTGCTCGATCTCATCTCAGCTTTGGTTTTAGCACCCGCGATATCAGGTGGATGGTGAGCGACAGCCCCCGGTAGTAGTTTTTCTCTATTATCACCGCTGGAGGACCAGCCGCCCCTTGAAGCCACACCAGCGGCCACTTGTTGCTGTTCATCTTCGTTATGGTCAGCCCGTTAATGGTAGTGACCTTACTGTACCGCATCAAGCCTTGCAAATCCTCGTAACTGTGCGTCCCGTTGAGAAAGTGGTAACGCCGAACCTTGCGAAGTTTCGCTTTGCCCATCCGGTGCGAGCGAGTGTAGGCGAGATACCCGCGAACAGGAAGAAGCGCGGTAACCGGCCCCTTGACGCCACGCGCCTCCATCACTGGAACGAAGAGGATGACAGAGGAAGGGAAAGAAGAGCGAGACAGAGGGAAGAGAGGAAAGGACGGGCGAGAAAATTAATTGGAGCAGAAAGTTCAACCGCCATAGCACTGCGGGAGTGAGAAACACTCTCTATTGTAAGACTGTCATACGCTCTGCGGATGCGCGAAGAGAAAGCCGCAGAAACGCGCGGTGTGCTGCGTTGTGCTAGAGCGAAATGGGCCAGGAACGAGCCTTCGAACCTCGCGTGATAGGGAATGGAGTCGCCTCGACATGGAAGTATGAGTTGTCTTCCTATCCGAAATTCCAGCGCGTAACGATACTACGGCTTGCGTTTGTGTGGCCGAATGAAGTGACGCTGCTCGTGCTTGTAGTACAAGAAGATTTAGCATTTTACTATCCGACGAATTGCGATGGTTTTCACGTACTCTGCGACCTTGTTCAAGCGAGCGCAGCTGTCCATACATACTTCACAATCTGGCGAGCTACAGAATCGATTGAGAGCGTAAACTTGACGACTTTCGGAGTTTCTGGAGCGTGAAGCCGGACGAGTAGAGCAGAATGCCGCGCCTGCCTCGCTGAACCCGCACCCAGTTCTCGCAGTGATTCGCGAAGCAAACTATTCACAAGCTTGTGACTTACGGGGTTTCTGGAGCGTGAAGCCGGACGAGTAGAGCAGAATGTCGGTGTACGCGCCTTCATTGTTGAACCCGCACCCAGTTCTTACGGGTCACATGCTCTTCTTACATGCAGCGCGACTCGCGAAGCAATATTTTTACAACCCGCCTTTGACTTACGGAGTTGCTCGAGCTTGTAACCCGGCGAGTAGAGCAGGATGCTGGCGTACGTGCCGAGCTTGTTGACCGCGCGCGCAAAGTCCTTCCGCGTCACCGCTCGCGCCTGCGGTAACGCGCTAGCCGCCAAGAGCGCGAGGAGGAGGAGGAAAAGCGGTGAGGTGAAGATGTGATGACGTGGTTGATCGCCGCGACGACGCCTTGAGCAGTGTACAGTCCTCGACGCCATTATTGTGCTCGGACTGACCGTCGATTTTCAGATCGGACGGTGTGGGACTGTCGTTAGAAAGGAAGTTGATAGGTATGGTAACGTCGCAAGCGTGGCGGATACGAATCGATCGTTGCTACGCTAGCTGCTAATTGAGACCTGGGACGAGAGTGAGTAATACGCTGCAAGTTCGTCTGCACTGCAACTAGAAGCGGAAGTGAAGCTGTCAGGATGAGGCGCCCTCTTTTCACTGAAATGTAAGCCGCTGTCGGATGTTCCAACGTAGGAAACATGATGTGTGAGAGAAAGGGAAAGGACAGACTTCCCTGTCCAGATCCACTGCCAACACCCTATCATCGAGGTGCGGGTGAGAAGGGAGACGGGGAAGCCCTGATCAAGAGCAGGCTTTCAACCCCCGAATCGAGATCAAGTACGGTGGTTCGAATTTTGGTTGGTTTTAGAACGTTTCAGTACGTTGAAGATGTGTATCTTTGTCGATCTCTTCACCAAATCCACCAACGCCCAGAAACCCAAACAGAGCCAAGTTATGGTCAGCTCTTCTTCCCGACATGGCGGCTGTGTACATCCTGCCCCAACAAATTCGAAACGCGCGAACATGGTTGGTTCCTGATGGGGATGATCATCCAATTACAAGGCAGCTGGAGAGTGTTTGACCAATACGATCTTGCCATTAGCGCCTCTTCACCACCCACCGCGGCTTGATAAATGTCGTCTATTGCGCGACTCGCTCGACGTGATCTCGCGTCGGTGCTTGGACCAATACCGACGTGAAAATGTTGCATTGCTGGAGCCAAAGGATATTGTCTGTTCTTCTAGCGATGGACCACTTCATATAAACGAATTACATGTGAGAAGTGCCCACATATTTGTACAGACTTCATCGGGGCTACACTAAGAAATTCCCCTTTCCTTACTTCTCTTTACTGCAATTGAGATAGCATGAGAAAATAGCTCAGGATGCCAGGAATGAGATTGTGACAGGGGGATGCATGCACTTTAGGCTGCTTACCTTCCTAAAACGGAGGTACTGTATGCCTATGCAGTGAGCACCTCTATCCGGTGTGGAAGGTGGGGCCGTTGGTACTAGCGAGCAGTTTGCGCACCTGTAAGACGATTGTGCGGGGTTACCTTTCCATGCGTAAGTGTTATGAGTTGTACGAAAGAAGAGTGCGCAGTATTCAATAACGCGGAAGTGATTGCAACTACTGAGCAAACAACGAGGCCTAGGCATAATATAGCAAGGCTAGCTAGGCCGAGGTCGCGGAGTCGCGCGAAGGTCGGGTGTAGGTTTGGGGTTGGGAAACCTGAAGGCGACGCGGAGGACGTTCAGAAGGCGAGGTCATCGGACCGAGCCTGAACTCCGAAAAGTTGGACTTGTACGCGTACGGAGTGCCTCAGTAAGGAATTAGGAAAATTCCTTACAGTAAGCCATGTGGGCAACAGTATGCTATTGGCCATTCGGTATCTCACATTTTGGAATGACATTCATGCTATACATAGCTAAATTACATAGACAGACAATTGTTACATCACATAGTATCACATGGATGAGGGAATCAAAGCTAGGGACACGAGGTGAATAACAAGCGTATCCCCTTGGAACATGTTGGGCCATGTAACAAGACTAGGCAGGCCCTTGGCTGCCTGCAAAGCCACCAATTTGGTGCGTTTGCCATTCCACTTCTTTACCTTCTCGCCCAGCACTGTGGTGTAGGTTTTACCCGCAGCATCATGCACAAAGTCCTTGTAGACATGGTACTCTGGGATCATGTTCTTTTTGCCAAGAGTGGCGAAGTCTTGGGCGGTGTAGCCAGCTGAGTAGGCTGTGTACATGGTGTAGGGGTCGGTGGGGAGGAAGAGCGTGATGGGGCCCTTCTGGTTGATGGCTAAGAGTACTGCAAGGGGCGGAGAGTGGTAAGAAAGAGGAGGAGCAGAATGGAAGGGTGTGCTGCAGGGATGCATGGATGGGGCGACGCATGGAGACTGTAGAGGCGGTGTGGCAAATGTTAGGCCGGCGTGAGAGGGCAGCTGTGCCAGCGTGGCAAAGGGACACGAGGGACATGAGAAAGCCAGCGATCCAGCGACGTGACATCTGCAATTTCCCACGCCATGACGCCACGCGACCGCAGGTGCGGAACAACCTCCTTACGAGATTCTAAAAAATACTAAATCGTGGGGTGACTTTAGCGAAATGCTGGTACTCACCAAACTTTTGAAAGAACTTCTAGTTCAAACGTTGAAGGCGCGGGTTTCGTCTAATCTTCTGCAGCGCAAGCCGCACGTCCTTTCGGCTCACCGCGACCGCAGTTTCCACAAAGGTGCTGGCGAGGAGCAGCAGCAAGAGGGCCGCGCCAATCACGGCCTTCGTTCGCCGCCTTCCCGCCGCTGACTTCATGATGACGCGTCGCAGAAACCCAACTCCGAGAAAATCCGTTGAACGGATAAGCGGCCGGAAAGCCAGCTGTGATTCCGAACAATAATATTTCCGCGGATTAAAAGTCTGAAGCTTGAAGCGTCGGGTATCCTCGGTCGACCTGGGCGTTACTAATCACCGCCGAATGGAGTCTCGGACCACCAAGGCCCAGCAAAGGTCGTGGCTTGCTCGGAGCAAGGCTCGGTTCAGATAAGGCGCTTGATAAGCAAACGCTCGTCATAAGAACGGCAGGGGGGGAACGCCGAAGCGTCGTTTGTACAGTACCAGGATGTGCGCGCGAGCGACGGGTGCATGTCGCGAAGACTAGTATGTGGGTGCTGCTGCTGCCACTGGCGCTGCTCGACAGAAGAGCAGCACACATCGCAGCCGAATTTTG